TTCCCATAGTAGTTAGAGGGGTGGCAGGGGTTTTTACGAATCAAGGTTTTTTTTTTTTGCAAGTTATAACTCTAAGGAAATCATGTTAGAATTACTCCTTTCAGGCTTAACCACAATGACACTACTCTGTTTATTCCTCACTCGGGACTAAGTATAGTTAGAATACATTTAAATGTATAATGATCTCATACTGTTTCCAGATTAAGTTAAAAACCAACAGTACATAACTCTTAGAAGAAGTTCAGTAACTGCTAATATTTTGGAATGAATGTGCCACCGTTCTGAATAGTCTTCCTGCATGCAAATGTTTCTAAGTACTGCCCACACATTATCCACATGCAGGCACATGTCACTACTGCCATTCGTTCATTTACTGGTTTTAAATCTTCATGCTGAACTGTTTTCAGATTTTGACTTAAGTCAAAATATATATCTTAATAGTTCTGTTTACTAAAAAAAATTAAAAATAGGAAAGCTGGAAGGCATACAAATCTTGTCCAACTTCCTCATTCTATTAACTAAAAAAAAATAGTTGAGATCTAGAGATTTACCCCTCCCCTACCTGTAAGCACACAACACGCACGCACACACACACACACACACACACACACACACACACACACGATTACAAAGTTACTTAGCACCAGAATTAGATTACTGTTTCTTGTGATGCCACCAAACCACCAGAGAAAACTAACTTAAGAATATCATCTTTACCATGGGCATCTGCTGATGAAAGAAGCTGAGTTCCTAGAAAAAGTTAAAAGAAAAATCACCAGTCATAATAAACACATCACTGTTCACAGGAAATTATTCATAATTATCCAATCTCATGTCAATCAGTGGGGTAAAGAAAATGAAGGAAAACCTCTTGGTATCTTGACCAGCATTCCTCTGGTAGAGGTCCTTACTTGGACCATAGGAACAGGTAGGAAGCAAGCTCTTGTTCCACTGAACACGGGGGATTCAGGATTCATTGTCTCACTGCCACATTTCAACAGGTGCTGCATATTTGCTGAGTGAGAGCTAGAGAATGGGCTGTTATAATCACTGTAGCATCTTGTCCTTGTAACCTACCTCCTTGGCCATGTCTGTATATTTCTGCTTTTCCTTTGGATCAAGAACAGCCCACCAATCAGCTAGTATCTTGGTAGCACCTCGGTTATCAAGCCTAGGATGTTCCTGCCGGACAAGGGAGCGATGGCGCTTGCAAAATAAAAGAAATGCGTTCATTGGTCTCCGGGCACGCTGTTCTGGTGATTCATCATCTTCAGTCTCACCAACATCTTGCTCTGGGCCATCGGCCCCAAAAAGGTGAACCTGTTACCAAATGAAGCAAAAGTCAGGTGTTTAACAGAGCTCCAACAATTTTGACTTACCAGTTTTGATTTGCAAATTGTATTTTTTCTTAGCTCCATTTAAACATCTAACAAACTGAAAAAGTAATTAAAAAAATCATTAACCACTGTTGGTGGTTGGTAACTAACTTATGATGTATCCTTCTTGGTTTCTATAGCAACCTGTGCACATCTCTATTACAGAATATATTACATTGTGTTATAATTGCTTTAATTTTTTTTTCTCTCTCACTAGACAGGTGAGCCTTTTGGGGACAAAAATTTTCTTATTTACCTTTATCTGTATAACCACAGAGCTCAACTTATTGTCCAGTGTTAACATTAACATTTAACCAACTGCTAAATGAATGAATAAATTTACATGATGGTTTATGGGTCTCAAGATTAATAATATCCACATGAAATATATGTTTATTAGCTCTTTCTCCTCTTTAGAAAGTACTTCCCTATAGCTAAGAACATGAGAATGTTTACTATTGAATGAGATAATAGATAGCTAATTAGGGCACCCAATGTTTTAACACCAACCACAATGTGGAGTATCTTACTATAAAGTACCAAAATAAGCATTTATCATGATTATTTGAAAGAATAACTATAAGGCCTGTAAATCTTTAAGCCTGTAAATATCATTATCCTAACTAAAGCAATGTTTTAGCAATAGGAATAAATTTCCCTAGGTTTAAACTTTCAAGATCAGTTTTGAATTCCCCCTCTTTCTTAAGCACTCTGTTTAATCATTGTTCCAGGTCTTCAAGGACTTCTACAAAGCTCCAAATCTCTAATTCCCAGGCCTAGTACCACTTTGGCCTATGGCCTACTCTTTCCTTTTAATCTTCCTGACTACACTTCCAGCATATGTCTGTTGGATTAAATTTCTTAAAGTACAACTGCAATCACAGAATCTCAGAAAATAATGGTAATGTAAGGTCCCTAATGCTAAAATATGGTTCTGTGATGTTTCTTAGAAATAATGCAACCATGAGCAGAAATCCAGAATCTAAGTTCATTTCTTTAAATTCTTATTTTATATTCAAAACCAAGAAGGACCAAGACAGTCATCATCTACATTATACAGGAGGGTTGCAGTTCTGAAACTTAAGAGTGAATTGGAATCTCCGCAGATTTTGTTAAAACACAGGTTGCTAGGTTCTATTCTTAGAGTTTCTGATTCTGTGCATTCTGAGAATATTTCTAACAAGTTCTCAGGGAGTACTAAGGCAGTTTGTGTGCATATCACACTCTGAGAACTACAACTACAGGGCAACCATGTCCTTTTATACAATGCTTACCAGGCAACTCTTATAGATGCTCTAGAACAAATCATTTGCTTACTCCAATTCAGTATGTGTGGTGGTGGTTGCAGGGGAAGGAGATGACATATGCTTGCCATGGCAAACTTGTGGGGGTCAGAGAACAACTTTGTAGGGTTTGTTTTCTTCTTCCACTTTTATATGGGTTCCCGGGATTGGACACAGGACTGCAGGCTTGTACAGAAAGCATTTTTACCCACCAAGCCATCTTGTTTGCCCTAATTTCATATCTTTAAGAAGTCTTTTTACTAAGCATTGCAAATGTAATTAAACATCAATTATTTTCAAACACAATAGAGAAAAATCTTGAAGCCATAAATGACTTGAAAATACATTAGGATTACTGAGCATGAAGGCTACAGATTTATTTCCCTCATTGTATATATAATCATTAGCAGTGATTTGACTTTCCAAAAGATATTTATTAGGTATTCTGAAACTAATAAGCTAAGAAAAAGTTAGGACTAGAAATGCACACTACAGAAATAATCATATTTTTCTTCAGAATTGAATAACTTTTGATTATATTATACAACTCAAACTGTAAGCTGGAAAAAGAAACTCGCTATTTTGAAAAGGGAGAAATACATATAAAATAAATTACAAGCAATATGGCGATACCACAAGGCAGCAGTGTGATAATGAAACATTTGTGAAAAGGACAAAAAAAGTCTCCCTAGAAAAGGTGTTGTCTGAGCTAAGTTTTGAGAGCTCAATCAAAACGTATTATTGAATAAGTGGGGAGATATGGAAAATAAGCAGGGTTAAGGCTTGAAGATTTATCTGAATATGAACATGCAGTTCTACAGCACAGTATATGAAAAATAAGAACAAAATAAGAACAATGGCTGCAGAAAACATGGGCCATGTCATGAAGAATGTGCTCTGCCATGTGAAAATTACACGTTTCAACTGTAGACAAGTGCTGGGGGGTTTGATACAGACTGTCAACCTTCTATTTTCCAAGAATGGGCATCAGAAATTCTTAAGTACTATCTAATGTTCTAGTTATCACATTAGATTAGCCAACTGAAATGTCAGTGATTAATTACATGAACAAACAAAATAAAGATGAAAAATAATCTGGATTTATTTTTATTCACCAAACATCCATTTAAACTTAGAAATAACTACTAGTACATAAGCTGGATGTGACAGTTGATTTTGACTGTCAATTGGACAGCATTTAGAATCATTGTGGAAACAAGTCTCTGGGACTCTTTGTGAGGGATTTTCTAGATTAGATTGTTGGAGGTGGGAAGACCCACCCTGAACGTGGGTGGCGCCATTCATAGGCTGCTGCCCTAGACTGAGCGAACAGAAGGGAGTTGCAACAGCTTCATCACTCTCTGCTTCCTGACTGTGGGCACTGTGTGACCAGCTCCCTTCTGCTATTTCTGCTCTACCCTCCTTGTCTGTATGGTCTTTACCCTCTGAAACTGTCAGCCAAAATAAACTCTTCCTGAAGTTACTTTTGTCAGATATTTTGTCACAGTAACAAGGCAAGTACGAAACACAAATGTAGAGCCATGAATGAATTCTGAAGCAAGAGAAACACATAGTTAGATTTGTATCATAAAGCTATAGCTCTTGTTGATATTGCAAATCATGAATTTTGAGAGTAAAACCACAAGCAATGAAAACAAGAGAAGCCAATTAAAAGTTTGCTTCAGCTGTCCAGGCAAATGAGATCTGAAATCTAGGTAATAGTAACAGAAAAGAGGATGCAAGAACAGAGATGGCATCCAAGACGAACCAAGAGTGGCTGGTATCTAGTAGTATTTCAAAGTTCAAAAATGAAATGCTTCTACTTATGTAGAAAGTTTCCTCATACACAACACAATATCTTCTCTCAAATGATAAATTAGATCCCACAAAGGGCAGAACAAACAGTGCTGGGAACCCTGCATTTTAAATGGCTATGGGGTTAGCTATGTGGACACCTGCTTGTGGGATAATGAGCAAAAGAGGTGAGACTAAAGGTGGGGGTGAGGGCATTTTTAGCATGCAGTGAAAGAAGAAAATGATCTAATGGCTTCAATGTTTCACTCAACAATTGTTTACTGGGTACCTGCCATGGGCCAGGTACTGTTTCAACAGAGCAGTGAGTACATAGTCCCTGTTCTTGTTAGGCAGAGAGGTGGTATGACTGGCCCTCCATTCTGAAAGGTTCCTGTGACTGCTTTGTTCAGAAGAGACAACAGAAGGGGAAGCACTGAGCATGGAGAAAGATAGGATATAATAACCTCTGCTAGAAATAATGTTGGCTGCACAAAGGTTGTCAAAAGTAATTATTAGGAACGGGTCAAATGGAGAGCATAATTTGAAAGGTACAGTGGAGATGACTTGGTAATGAATGCACAGATGAACTGAAGAGTGGATAGATGAATGGATGGATAGATGTGAAGCTTGACCAAAATCAAGCAAGTTAAGTATTAAGTGGAAAAGTTGCAATTGCCTTTACTGAGAAAGGAAAGAGAGAGGTTTGGAGAAGAAAAGTAAGTAAAAGCTTAATTCTGAATACTCTCAAATCAAGATTCTTGGCTCATATCTAAGAGGTAGCTCATATCTAACAGATATATCAAATAGTCAGTCTGAAATATGAGCCCAGATTTGAAAAGAAAAGTCCAGGATGAAGACAGAAATTATGATCAAGAGGCTCAGCAATGAGGTGTTTGTTCTGTTTTGGGAGATTACGGTTTACTATGTAGCCAATGCTAGCCTCAAACTCCCAGTTGTCCTGATTCAGCTCCACACACTGGGATTACAGATGTGAAGCTGTATGCCTAGATTTGAGCATGGATATCTGAGGGTAAAATAATAGGAGAATCAACGGAAAGAAACCAGGAAGGGACAGAAGGAAAGGTAGCAATATAAACAGGAGGAAATTATGTCATAGAAAGGGGAGACAACTTCAAGGACCAAGTAATCAACAGGGCAAATGAGTCAGAAAAGTCAAATGAAGCATAAACTTGGCAATTTCCTGAAATAAGAGGGCCATGGTTTGAATGTCCCCTTCTAAAACTAAACTTGAAAATAAATGGGCACTGTAACATGCCTCATGAGTAATTAATGCCAGTGTCATGGAAGGAGGTACTTAACTGTGGGAATGAATTCCTGATAAAAGGATGAGTTCTGACAGATTTGTTATTTATTTATTTTTAAAGGCTGAATGGATAGAAAAAGCTTGAAAACCAATAAAGTCAGATATTTTGGGGGCTGGCAGGAGGGCTCTATGGTTAAGAGCACTCGCTGCTCTTGCAGAAGACCTGGGTTCAATTCCCAGCACCCACATGGCAGTTAACAACTGTATGTTACTCCAGGTCCAGAAATCTGATGCCCTCTCCTGACCTCCATGAACACCGCACAACATGGGTACACCTACCTACATGCAGGCAATATACTTGTCACATAAAATAAAAGTAAAAAATAAAATTTTAAAAAGAAGGTATTTGTAAGATATATGGTGACATGTACTCCTTTGCCCATCCATTCAGCATGCACGTATTCAATGTCTCCTATGTGCCAGGCACCTTCATTGCTCTGAGACAGAAGATAGGACAAAAAAGGCAAAGTCACTGCTCTTATTTCACTTCTCTGGTCGGTAAAAACAGACAAAAACAAGGACATACCTAAACACATGGCAAATAGCTGTAGATACTACGAACAAAATCCTCCAACTTAGAATAAGATGATGAGGCCCGAAGTCTCAGAAGAAGCATTTTTTTACTGAGATCATGAGAAGCCAGTGAGGCCAAGTCCTGGAGCCAACTTGTTTATGCTGAGTGGAATGTCCCAGAGAAGGGGACTTGGAAGATGAAGTGGACACAGATTTTGGGGGGTTGTATTGGGGGGGGCAGTGCCACCAGATGCCATGAAGGCCATGGTGCTGAGACTAAGAGTACCTCTCTGATACGGTATGACTCAGCTGGAAGCAAAGAAAGAAAGTGCCAAGCAATCACATAAGGGTTATGAAGAGCTTTATCTTCCTACATCTCAGAATCACTCACAAATCATTAGTTGACAGAAACACTAACAGAGAAGAACCATGCTTTAAGGTAAGAGTAATCAATAAAAAGTTAAATTTGGGAGCTAAACGTGAGTCAAGTTATACAGACTTTTAGAAGCACATCTGTCATACAATAATGTTCATGGTGTTTTCTAGAAAATGAGTAATGCTTAAATATACTTGGAACTTCCAAGGTAAATGGAATCCTTACTTTGTCAATATCTTCCTCTTCGTCGTCGTCTTCTTCCTCTTCTGAAAAGTCGAGAAGTTTTTTGGCTAGCAATGGATGCCACTGAAGACACTTTCGTTTGGGTCGTTTTCCAGCCTCTTCTCCTTCTGCTGAATGATCTTTATTTCTATTATTTCCTTTCATTACTGTGACCTGTGGGGGAGGAGGGCACAAGGAGAGAAAGAGAGGGAAAGAATATGAACCAAAGTATCTATTGGCTCAGGCATTTACTAGATTCCATGTACAGCTTAAGTATATAATCATGCATTCATTTTAATGGGCTAAACTGAGCTAATAAAATTTGCCTTTGATAAAATCTACTTCCACTCCATAACGTCAAACCTTAAAACCTAAATTAGCTTTTAGAGTGATTATCAGTTACATTCACCTGTTCATATTTATTCAAGACACTATTTCCCACCAAAGAAATTGTGAAAAATGTCTTCCAAGGGAAGGGGGTTCACGGGGGGCCCCCTGGCATTCTGTCATGTCCCCTTTTTCATTCTCACATTTTAAGTGAACTTTGCAGTCTATATCAAGATAAATATGTACTTGTGATACTAAATACAATGAGCTATTTCTTTTTTTAATGTTTTATTTATGATTTTTATTTTATGTGCATGTGTGTATTGCTTGCATGTAGGTAAGTGTACCCGTGTTGTGCAATGCCCACGAAGGACAGAAGAGGCCATCAGATTCCCTAGAACTGGAGTTACGGACAGTTGTTAGCTGCCATGTGGGTGCTGGGATTCAAACCTGGGTCTTCTGCAAGAACATTCAGAGTTTTTATCCACTGAGCCATCTCTCCAGCCCCTAAAATGAGTTATTCTAAAAACCATTAATTCTTCTTGGTTTGAATATGAAATAAAACAATTGCATACAATAAAGTGCAGTTTCAAAAGCTATGTAGCCTCCCAGGACTCAGCGCATGAGCACACTGTATGTCACTTAGCAGGATGAACCCTGCTATCCATCTATGACAAAACAAACACATCTTTACATCTCTCCACCATATAGGCAACCTGGTAAAAACATTTTGTGTGAGCTATTTTTTTAAGTGGGTTATTGTCTAAGAGACAACCAGGTTATAAATGTGACAAAATCTTTTAGAAGCATCCAGTTCTCAATTATTTTTGAATGACTTATAAAGCTGTTATTCTTGATGATAAAGGCAGTATGTGTTTGCATCAGGAAGGTGGGTGGCAACAGCCTGAAACCAGGCTTGCTTCCTCCATCATACCCAACCCCATAGTCCAAAGGTAACTAAGCCATTTATTACATGCTGTCTCACAATTTTGGGGGTCAGATTTATAATTTCTCATTTGTGTGATGTAAAATATACAAATCACTATTCATGCATACTCATGGAAAAATACAGTGAAATGCTACCAAACATTAAATGGTTCAAGAACAGATGCTGACAATTAGTAATACAAATGCACATCCTGATTTCACTGGGCATAGTCTTCATAAAATGTCCGCATTGGTCCAATGCTTACAAAACAATGTCATTAGGCTTTTAACATCATAATAAAACTGAAACTTGAGTCCATGTACACACAGTTTCAAGATTTACCTAATTCTCAGGCCTTGCAAATAATATAGTATGGAAAAATTCATCTATCTTCTTTGTTTCTAGATTTTGAGTTAAGTTTAGGTTGTCCTCACTTCAAAACAAAAAATAATTACTAGTGTTTTCTCTTAGAATTTTCATGGTTTCACCTTAAAGATTTAAAAATTTTAATAAAATTAGTAATGAAAGGGTCTT